AATCGCGTCACATAAAACGGCGGTATCACTGTACGCCTTCCTTTTCAATGTATTCTTTGTGTACCCGCCATTTCTGATATTCCAAAGGCAACGATTCTGACGAATACTATCGATGAGATATTCTTCATAAGGGTATGTCCAGACAGGAAAATTAGCACGAACCGTGATGAGGAATAGCGCGCACTGCTCTCACAGATGTAAACAATCGTGCGAACACTTAAACAAATTTTATTAGCTTCAATTTATAATACATTTCATATTTGCTAATCTATTGTTTTATAGTATATATATTAAATTTATTTTCATATTCTTTATGATACAGTTAATTTTATTTAACGTAAATGCAAATATTCTGGAATATAGCAATTGATTTGACTATGCTTGGATGAAAAAAAGTTTACGGAAAGGTTTTTAAACAGAAACGAACATTATCGTCTGATCGGAAAATCGTCAAGGGAAAGGCTAGATCAGTAGCAACTCGAGGATATCATGACGTCAGATGTTGATGACGTCACGAAAGTTGCGATTGTTTTTGGAAAAGCACATAGGGTTTAATATTCATTTTTTTTCAGTTTTCAAAAAGGATGGAAAATAATTATATTAATTATTATATTTTCACTGAACAATCATCAAAATAGCCTTGTGGGTGAGAAGAGTGGGTGGTTATGTTTATGTATAAATGATTCTCAGGGGGAATTGCTCGCAGTGGGAGTCAAGCCATAGGCCTGTATTTTTTACTCAGCTTGAAAGAATTAAGTACCATAAAGTCTTTTTGGGGTAGGTATCCTACACATTAAATAAAATACTTTTCATTCATTCATTGAGTGCATGGAGGTATTAATAAAAGGAGGTGTACTTAATTCCTTCTAGCTGAGTAAAAAATTCAGGCCTATGGCTTGACTCCCACTGCATAAACATAATTGCCCACTCTTCTCATCCACAGAGCTATTTGGATGATTGTTCAATTAAAATATAATCATAAAAATCATTATTTTCCATCCTTTTTGAAAACTGAAAGGACCAAAATGATCGACGATATTCACCGCTAGCCCGTTAGTGCACGAATTCCGTGGTGTTAGCGACTTCCTAATTTCTTATAACTGATTCGAGTGAAAGATTATTATCAATTTTGCAATAAAATTGTCCATTCACTTTTTTTTTGCATAATTCTTGCCAGCAGAGCGGGCTATCCGGCCAGTTCGTGGGTGCCGCCATCATCTAAATAAACCCTATGTGCATTTTCCAAAAACTTTTGTAACGTCATCAAAATCTGACGTCATGACCTCCTCGAGGTGCTACTGATCTAGCCTTTCCCAATCGGCAATTCACTCAAAAAATGACGGTAAAAGTGCTAGCGTGATGCACATTTCGGCTTCCCGCAAGTATCGTATGCAAACATGACCGCTTCCGTCTGAATAATTTCCGTCTTGATATTGTGCTCGACAATTCTACACAACTAGATTTTTTATCGGAATTTTATATAGAATAAGTTACTGTAAACAAAAGTTAATATTCTAGAATATTTCTATATCCATTAAACATAAACATATTTGTTTCTTTGCTCCCTTGGTAGTGTGAAAGGGTCAGTCCATTTCCATACGGAAAGTTCATATGGAAACGCAACAAGTCATAGAGAAAGTGTTAACGTGATAGGACCATTAGCGCATCATAACCCGTCTCCATCTCACCTCCACAGCTTTCTCTATCGTATCTCCATCTCTCCTCTACCGCTTCCTCCATCACGCCACCATCTCTCCTCCACAGCTTTCTCCATCAACCAGGGCCCTGATCTCCATGCCGTCCCACGTGCTCGTTAATTCTGCGATGAGATTAAAAGGGAATCGAGAGAGGCGCAGCCGCCGCCGCGCGTTGAAAGGTTCTTATCTTATTTCCGGTGGATTGCCTCCAGGCCAGGATGCAGGGTGTACGAAGATGTCAAATAAATGCGAATATCATTATACTCTCTCTCTCTCTCTCTCTCCTCTCTCTCCTCTCTCTCTCATCCTCATCCTCTCCTCTNCTGCCTCTAGCCTCTGCTGCTTTCGCCTCCTTGCCCGCGTCTACCCCCATGCCCTCTCTCTCTCTTTTTCTCGTTCTATCTATTTCTCTCCTGCTTCGTCTTTCATAGTCCCTCTCTGCTCGCGCCCTCTTCCCGTCTCTGATCTTACAACAACAGAACAAGACACATGCGCCATCTGTCTGTGAGCCATTGAGATCGCTACGTCCCGCTTTCTCTCTGCAGCCCGCACGAGTGGCCATTCACAGAAGTACTTTTGACACTTTCCTTGCCGCACCTTTCGTTGAGCAATATACAACACGTTCCGAGTCTCCCGAGAGGTGAAATGTGAACAACCTAGTTCGAACTTACCTTGAACAGTCGATTTCTGTTAAGTTCATCTCGCGTATAATGAGAACAAAACAGAGGAAATATCAATATGAATTGATTGTTTCCCCTCCTGAACGCTTCCTCCACCCCCTACGCCTCAGTGTTCCTCTTCAC